TTTTTTTTTTTGCAATTTATTTAAATAATATATTTCTAAAATAAAAAAATATTTAATAAAATTATAAACTTTATATTATTATTATGTATAATTATTTAATTATGTATAATTAATTATGTATTTAATTATATATAATTAATTATGTATTTAATTATGTATAATTAATTATGTATTTAATTATGTATAATTAAAGTACATGCAGATCTATCATCTTATTTGTGTTTTAGGTCTGTAGAACAACGTGTAGATCAATCTCCTAGAAATCAATATATTTTAGTGAAAACTTATAAAAAACTTATAAATTTTGGTATTTTTTGAATCTGACATTTCAAAGTGTGATCTAGCAAAAAAAAAAAAATATAATATATTAGTATTTGGAAATAAAGTACTTTTTATTATATTAAATTTGAAAAAAAAAAAAAAAGAAAATTGGATTGCAAAATGGGTTCCACAAGACAAGATAGATCACTTAGCAGTGGAATATCTTTACCACAATGGATGAAAGGAAGAACCGATAGCAGGTATGTTTTTTTTTAATTTCTTTTGAGAGAAGCATCTTAATGTTAAACTTCGACTTGTACTAAGTTGCAGGCTCATGATGCTTTAACATTATTCTTTGCTGAATAAGTAGAAGAGATTTAAACCAACGGTAAGAGGCAATTTTTTTAATTGCCCGCAAAATATTTCTGAAAATTTATAACATTATATATAATATAATGTTATGAATATAAAAGATGAATTTAAATCATTTCATAAGATTTAATTTTGAATATTTGCAAATTAATTGTCTAAAATATAAAATAAAATTTAAATTTATATTACTTAAAACTTTAGTATTAAATATATATTTTGCAAGCAAAAAAAAAATATATGTGATATTTGGCCAATACGTAATATAACGCGAATAAGCAGTTGATCGCATGGGCATTGTGCTATTCTTAGACTTATGACACTCTTCACGAGAGAAGTACGGCCTCGTGCAGTTTGTGTGCTGCGCATAGCGTTCTATTCTTTTATTTTTCGATATTATTTCTTTTAATGTTGTTTTACGTCAAAAAATCGGATTAAATATCTTTCCATGTACGGCATGATTGCATATAGTTTTTAATTAATGAAGTACTCATGTAAGATTATATCTTTGATATTTATTTGCATTACTATAGAATTTAAAAATTTATAAATAATTATCTAATATTTTAAAAAGTGGAATTTACAAACAAGAATAAAAATATTTCACAATTGAAAGAATTTTCTAAGAATCGTGAGTCGAAGAAATGTGATAAAAATTGGATCTTTTTATTAAGTAGCTTAGCCTTGTTTTTTTCATCAATCCTATTTTGTAAAATGTGAAATTATAGCTTTTCGTATTTTTTTTTTTTATGCAGATTCGACTTTGACGAGACTACATTTAGTCCTCCATCTCACGACGACAGCTTCTTTTATATACGGTATCCAAAGACACAAAATCGATTATCGGTTTCACAAGATTTTCGGCCAATTGATGAAGTTTTTAATGAACAAAATATTACTCCATCAACAAATAATATAAAAGCACAAGATACGCAGCAACAGATTATTGAAGAGAAGAAAAAAAATCAAGAGATTGATTTTAGCAAGCATCCTTTACCTTGTCAACCATTTATACCAACAACAAATAAAGGTATTAATATTAATTATTATATATGTTTTTTTGCACGATTCGTAATTATATAAATGACAAAAAAGTGAATTTTCTGAATATTGTAAAGAATAATGAAATATAAGAAATGTTGTTTCATATTTTATATATTATATAATTAATGTTTTATAATTTTTCATTCTAGGCAATGAAACTAAACCAAATCTAAAAACATCAACCAACAATACGAAAATTACAAAGTCACAAGGAATAGATGATGGATTTCATGGTGAACCAGCACTTTGTGGAAAATCGATTGTTCTTGTAGCCAGTCAGATAATGTCTAACAAACTTCACGAAAATTTCTCAGCCGAACAGGCTGACAAACAATGTAAAAAAGGAAGTAAATCTTTACCAGCCACTCCACTCGCTTCACCCGCAAGCAGTCCAAATAGTTCTCCGAAAACTCGTCGACGTGTTCCTTCTAATCGGTATTTTACTAGTCCATTTCTTCTTGATCGTGAAAAATATCAAGGAGGTTGGATCTTATCAAGCATCTTCGGACAATCTAGGGAAATTGTTACTGGTAAAATTGACGAAGAGGACGAAACAGATGTTTCAGCTCCTTCACTTAAAGCATTTGCTCGAAAAAAATCTATTTCGTCGCAAAATCTCACATATGTCGGAAGTGATGAAAAACCAGTTGAAAAACCAGCTTTTTCAAATGTATTTCAAGCAAAACCATCAGAATTAAGAGAGATGAATTTTTGGTCCCCGACATCAATGTGAACCAATATATAATATAATATCTTTAATTCTATTTATATGCGTATTATTATTACGTTTTGAGTTTAATTAATTAATCATTATAATTTATCATTAGTAATTAATTTGGAGATAAGAATTTATTTAAGAATACGATAAAAAATTGTGCACGATATTATTCATCTATTAAATTTTCTAAAATTAACGAATGCGTTGATAAAACGGAAGAAGAAAAAAAAAGAAAATGCAACTTTTTACATTCATTATCCCTTTCATATATCCTTAATAGTGTGCTTATTTCATAGTTAGATATATTATATTTATGCTGATTTTTTCTTTCTTTTTTGCGCTTTTAATTATTATTGTTGTTAAACAAGAAAATTATTTATATAGTAAACGATTTTTATGAAGAGCTATCCTACTATAATTATAATACATTAATATTTAGAAATGAAAAGAGAAATATTCTCGTGCTGCAAACGAGTAGATATCCTGAACGGTACAACAAATGATGAAGACATGCTGTGAAGACAAAACATAAAAATTATTTTTATGAAGACTATTATATACGGTCTTTAATTATTTGAAATATTATTTAATTTTTAATTCTTAGAAAAAATAAAAAAGTGAAAAAGAAAAAACTGATATATATATATCAGCTTTTTCTTTTTATATATATACCATATATGTTTGTATATTATTTTTTATATTTATGAAAAAAAAATTATCGTTTAAAAACCATCAATTAAAAATATTGATCAAATTAAATTGTATGCAAATAATGCGCGATATACGTGAATATTTTAAAAATTATGATATAATTAAGTGAATATATTTATGAATCATGATCGTTTAGATTTGTGTAAAAATATTTTTATTATTAATTACATTTAAGAATCTTAAATCGATTTTAATTTAAGCTATAATATTAATTAACTTATTATAATAACGCGTTATATAATGGAGTTACTAATGATTTTGGCATATTTTTTTCGACATTCCTACAGCTATATTATAAGATAGAATCGCTAAATGATTCTACTTTACGTACAATCAAATTTATATGTATAACGGGTATAATGATATATTATAGAAATTATTTAGAATGTTATTCTAATACAAGCAATCAACGAATTATAAGTTTGTGCTATTAATAAGATATTATTCAGAATAAAATGTAGAAACATATCGATGTATTATATTTTATTTTATAGAGAAATAATAAATAAATGAAATCTGTTATATCGAAAAATTTTTAATAATGAGAACGGATGAATCTGTTGAAACGATTCAATTATCTATATATTTCCTTAGTATCTTATATATATATTATTACGTTTATGTTTGATGAAAATACGCGATATTCACAGATTCAATATAATTTATCATTAATCTATCAGAAATTTTAAATAAAAGGAATAATAATTTAATAATTTCTAAAGAAATCTTTAAAGAAACAAAAATGAAGAAAGCATTTTGATACGTTAGCTTACAGCAATTATAACATATGTACGCTCCTTTGCCTCCGGCATGCTTATGAAATCTTAGTTCTTGGCCATGTTCTTACTGTTACACTTTGCCAATGTCAATTGCATAATAACTGTAACCAACAAAGATAGTCCGATTACGTTGCCGTTCACTTGGTAACTTACTTTATATTCATTCTTTCTCATTCTCATTGGTTTCTTCCCCCCTCCCCTCTGTTCCCCTCCCTACCCCGTTTTTTTTTTGTTATTTTTGATTATTTAAAAGTAGATTAAATAAGTTTTTTCTAATTTTCTCAAATTATTATTTGCAAACAAATATGACTTTATAATTTCAAAACAATTTATTTACATACTTATGTCGATCCATGAATCAATAATTATTTTAAAATTTACAAAATTTTTTCAAGAATTTATTAATATTTTATTATTTTATATATCTTTTGTAAATATATATATATATCTATCAAACGTATATTTCTACAATTCTTTACATGATGGCTAAACTGTAATTCTATAGTATATCTGAATATCGAGGCATATCGGTTGCAATATGAGATACACCGATATTGAGTAATTGCAGAGTATCTATCTGTTTCTTTTACTTTTCAATCGTATACATTTACACGTTGATGTTGTAATATACATTTAAATGATACTAAAATTGAAACTATTTTTACATATATTTGATCATCTTTTAGTTCCATTATCATTCATTCTTCATCCTTCATATCGTTTTGCTTTTTGAATTTCATTTTTTTTTTCATGTCCTTTAAACAAAATAAACATTTTCTTTCGAGAAAACCAGAGTGCCCAAATTGTCAGCAAACAACCACAAATCATCAAAAACTGAAAAAAAAGAAAAATTTTTTTTTTTAAAAACACGACCAACCTATTAATAAATTTTTGCGATATCAAATTTGTTCTAGCTACATATATATATATATATAAATATATATATATGTGATGCAATGTCGGCTCGTTATAAGTTTTCTATGCAATATACCTGTCTTTGGTCGACACTTGATACGAAGTTTTCGGAGAAAAAATGGTTCAAGTTAACTATCTAACTAACAAGAGCTTGCGTATAAATAGACTGACAGATTTATTAGATGCATTCAATTCGTTTGTTGCTTCCAAACGGTGAAGAAAGCAGGCGCTACCTATCGTCATCATGTTTAGAGTAAGTAAAACTGTAAATAAGATATTTAATTACTTATCACGATTGAGATCGAAACGAAAGCTTCTCCGTTAAATAAAATCATTATCGGTGATCGTTATTGCGAAAAAGAATGAGGGGATGTTAAAATGGAGGGAAGGGGAAAGGGAGAAAGCGGATAAAGAGGGAACGTTGAAAGAAATAAAAAAAAAAATTTTTTTTTTCAGTTTTTGGTGATTTGCGGTTGTTTGCTGGCAGTTGGGCAAGCTGGCGTAATTGGAGGCAGTTTGCTCGCAGCCGCGCCTGCAGCGGTTGCAGTCCAGCCAGCAGCAGCAGCAGCACCCCTTCCACTGTCTACGGCCACGCTCGCGGTACCAACTATCGCAACGTCCACCTCTAATGTGATACGGGGTATCGGTAATTTAGGTGCCATATCGGCCTATGCGAAGAGCATAGATACGCCGTTCAGTAGCGTCAGCAAAGCGGACGTACGCGTT